TTAACCTATTGGACTCTGACCATTTATAACACTGGCTAAGGTGCTCGTACTTTACAACGCTTTCAAAGAAGAAGTCGGCATTCAGTTTTGGGGCGCTCTTGGCCAAGTTTGCCCGTGACCGTCCCCAGAGTGCCTGCCCCCGAGGCGGGGGGTGACCATCCCCAGAGTGCCTGCCCCCGAGGGTCGTGGATGTGACTTTTGATAGTCAGGGTGCGCAGGGAATGAACGCCGTGCTCCCGCAGGGTGTTCAGCAGTTCCTTGGAGATGCAGTTACAGCTGAAAGGCAGGATGACAAGGCTGTGGAGCCTTGGAACGAGGCGCTGCTGTAGACAGGAAGCCGGAGACTGAAGAAATCCTCAACGTTAGTTTTAGATATAAAGCTGTTATTTGTCAAGCAACTCAGAGAACTCAGAAGCTGACAGCCTTCTTCCAAGGTTACTCTTGCTCCTTTTGAGACAATCAAGCCGTTTGCTCGTTTTTAGAAAGGTTCCTAAGTGGATAAACTGAGCCCTGACCTTATTTTTCCAGGTGAAGTGGTCTAATTGCAGATACTTGATGCTCGGGGATACTGGACGACTGTTGCACTCACCCAGGTGTGCCAAAAGACTTCGCAGTCACTTGAAATTTTTGTGTAAGGGCAGGATTGGAAGGATTTGATAACTTGATCTCAAGGAGCTCCAAATACTTGCTGAATTTCTTGGCATACCGCAGCGCGCTTTGGAGCTCTAAGGAGGGTGCCCTTGAATGTGACGGTTCTGCTGCTCCAGAGGGATCCTCAGTGCGTTGCCCAGCTCCTTTTTGTGCAGACCAAGGCAGCCTGAGATCTGTCCCAGCGGAAGACGTCGTGCAGATGAGCCCAGGGGCTCTGCTCGGCTTCGCTGTCATCTGCCAGATTTTCTTTCCCTCTGCCGGGCGCTGAGCTGTGAGAGCGCAGGTAGAGAAGATGCTGCAAGCAGGAGCCTGCGTGACATGAGGCACAGGAAGAACAACGCTACCGAGAGATACAGCAGCGCAGGGCAATCTGACCTGAAGACTGTAAAGGTTGTCTTGTATAAACACGGCTAATTGGAAATGTAGATTGTGCCAGGACAGGTGGTCTGGGAAGGATGATCAAAGGTTTGTAGCTGTGTGAAAACCTGAACTGTAACTCGTGTACTGACAAAGATACGATACATGTAGGTTGTCCGAACAATAATGTGATTCCGTTTTCCACCGGGTTGGAGTCCGTGCGTGTTTCTCCCCAATCTGATGCTCTGATTTGAGCGTCGCTGAGGCATTTAAGAAATCCTGAGGTTTATCAGCGACATTTCACTTCACAATGAAATGGTCAAGCACGTGTTGGAGGGGTTTATTTTTGTGACCGTGGAATATTCCTGTTCATCCCCTCTCATCCTCTATACTGGGCTCTGATCCAAATCATCGCATCCTTCCAGCTTGAGGAGAAGTTCTGGAGATCCTTGTGCTGTCACGGTGAAAAAAACACTCATGTTAACACAGCACGAGGGAGCAGGGAGGAGTTGCTTTTGTTCACTGCAGTTTTCTGGCCTTTTCTCCCACTAACAGAGCACAGGCTCTGGGTTTTTCTTCCCCTCTTTTTCATGTATCCGTGAAATTTTTTTGTGTTCTAAGAAAAAACAGGAAATATAGGAAGAAATTGAGGAAGAATTACACCTACCGCAAAACACACGGCCTAGAACAAATGCTTGCAGTGACTTTGGGAAAAGAAACGTTATTTGGCCTCTTGTCTCATTCCCGTCATAAAAAATTCAAGCCCTGGCTTTTCTAGTAAGCAAGTAACAACAATTTTCACTAGTTCTGCTTGTGTATACTATAATGCAGCAATAATAACGCCCATTTTACAATAGTCTTGAAAACCATGTTACACACACAAAAACCATAGAGAAACCAAAAATTTTTCTCCTGGAAATTGCTTTGGCAATTGCAGTTGAAGGCCAGGTAAAAATCACTAAAATCTTACTAAAATTCTTTTAGCTACACTGATGTTACCTCATAGAAATTACCTCACTAACACCATGTGTTGTTACCTTCACCAGTTACTACAAATTCCCTTGTCTAATATCAGGAGGGAGCGCTTTGGTCGGCTGCGCAGCAGAAGGGCCGTAGCCTCCTCGCGCTGCCGAAACGTTATTCGGAACTTGCCGTGTATAATGAGAATGCAAAAAATCACAGCCTGCAACTGGGAAAAGTGTGAGCACACACTGAAGTCTGTATTCGGAAGCACAAAAATGTGAGCTCTCAGGCAAACGCTAACGCATCGCTTTCGCAGACGTGCAGAGTCTCACTCCTGCGGCCACCGTTGCCCGTGCAAATTAAAGTGTTTGCATCACCCACACCTGATTTTGGAGCCGAGCCCCCGGCACAAGCGAACGATGGAGTTTTGCTCCAAGAGCGAAGGTGGCAGCA